GCATGAGCTATTGGGTCATCTTGGGAAAAATATGATTTGTTGGATTTCCTTAAATTAAATGGGGCATTCAAACCAAATCCGACCAACTGCATATCATAATTTTCCCCCTTTATCTAATACGTGGTGAAGAAGCGAAACATTTCCCATCTGCGTATTCTTTATTTATAGTCCATGTTTCTATATCACCACCATAGCGTACCTCTATGGGACCTCGGTGATGGTTAGGTACATACATTATTTATGAAACTCCGTTAATAATTTAGTACATATGGCCCATGTTAGGGGATCAATTTACAATTCGGTACGCTGACTGTATTTTTTTATTAAAGATCAATTCTCGATGTTAGGGGGAGATTAGTGACCAAAATACAAAATAATGTCAAGAAATTCCATTGATGAAAAATATCTTTAATATTTATATCCACGTACTAGTCAAACTGAACCAGAAGTTCACATGATAATCTGCTAAGAAAAGAGTGACCAAACCCCATATTCATGTTGAGTAAATCATTGATGATTTGGTACGCCAGAAGCGTACAACACCAGAAGCATAGGAAACTTGTTAATGAAAAAGATAAAAGTTTGTGGCACACCAAATCTAATATAGACAGTCACTCCCATAACCTCCGGAAGAGGCTTGTCCTGAAGACGAAATCTCTAGTAAATTGCACGTGCACTTGATAATCATAATATTGGATACGCGGAACGACCAAATCCAATTGTTAAGGGAAATGATGAGGATTTGGTTGACATAAAATAAGAATTAAAGTGGCCACGAATTTGTGAAAAAGGAGAAATATATAATAGAAATATAAAAGTTGTCGACAACATAGTTGCCTCTACAGTTGCTCTTACTATCTCTGAAAATAATCTAGATCCAGAACCTAAGTCGGTAGCAGAGTGCTTGAAGCACTCGGACTAGGTGAGATGGAAAAGTGGCAATTGAGGCTGAGCTGAACTCGCTAAAGTATTTTGAACCTGTAGTTCATATATCCCTGCTGGATATAAATGGGTCTTCGTAAGAAAAATAAATGAGAATTGTAAGGTGGTGAGATATAAAGCAAGATTCATAGCTCAATGGGTTCACGCAGAGACCCGGCCCCGGCATCGATTTAGATATAAAATATTCTCCTATTAGTGATTGTATTACGTTCCGCAAGTTAATACCTATGGCAGAAACTATGAATTTATATATGCAGTATATGTACATCATGACCACATTTTATATGAGTCATTAGACGCTAATATTTTTATATGAAAGTCCCTGATGGAATTAAAATTCCTGAATTCAGAGAAAACGAAAATCGCAACATGTATAGCATTAAATTGCAAAGGTCATTATACGACTTGAAATAGTCAGGTAGAATGTGATATAACCGACTGAGTGAGTTCCTCCTGAAGATGAGATATGCAAATAATGATGTATGCCCTTGTGTGTTTATAAAGAAATCCGAAAATGGCTTCTGTATCATCTCAGTCTATGTTGATGATATAAATGTTATTGGAACGCACAAGGAGCTTACAGAAACTAGCTCATGCCTAAAGATGGAGTTTGAAACAAAAAAAACTTGGGAAAAACCAAGTATTATCTCGACCTGCATATCGAGCATGTTCCTAAAGAAATATTGGTATACCAGTCAACCTACCTGAAGAAGGTCATGGAGAGATTTTAAATGAATAAATCTCATGAACTTAGCACATCAATGGTTGGTAAATCCCTTGAAGTGGATAAAGACCCATACAAATCTAAAGAAGATAACGAGGATATTTTAGGACCCGAAGTCACGTATTTGAGCGCGCTATTGAAGCACTTATTTATCTTACAAATTGCACCATGCTTGATATTGCATTTTTGTTACACATGCTAACAAGAATTAGTACATCTCCTGAAAGGAGATATTGAAATAATGTTAAATATATCCTCTGGTATCTTCAAGAGATCTTTGTTTATTCTATAAAAGAAATCAAAATATAACATTGGTGGGCTATTCTGATGATGGTTATATGACTGATCCCCATATTGCCAAATCTCTGAATGGTTATGTTTTTCTCTGCAGTGGTACTGTTATTTCTTGGAGGTCTATTAAGCAGACAATGTTTACTAGTTGAAACCACTCAGAGATTGTTCCTCTATATGCCTCATGCAAACGTGTAAGGTTCAAATCGCTGATAAAACACATTCGATGATCGTGTAGCATATTAAACGAGGATATTACCCCCGCTGTCTTTTCTAAGGATAATGTAACTTGTATTGCATAAATGAGACGTGGAAAATTTTTATCCACTTGCGCTCGAAAATAACAATGAAATTAACATTGATAAGTTCGCTCTAAGTAGTGACAATCTAGACAATTTGATCGCCAAATCCCTTAATATATCAACTTTTAATTTTATGATATCGTGCTTGGCCACCATGGTATTCATAGACTTGAATATTTGTTGTCTTGAGGGGGAGCGAATTATTTTTCAGAATAATCCTAAAGATCAAACCACGAAGGCGGTGGTTGTACTCTTTTTTCCTTAGCTAAGTTTTTGTCCCACTGGGTTTGCTTAGCCAAAGGTTTTTAACGTGGCAGCTAATGAAACACAAGTTTGGATCCCGAATATCTATAGTTGTACTCTTTTTTTCTTTGCTAAGTTTTTGTCCTACATGGTTTTTCTTAGCGAAAGGTTTTTAACGAGACAACTGATGTAACAGAAATAATGTATGTATGTCATATACTCTTTTCCTCGACTACTTTTTCCCACTGGGTTTTTTTAGCGAGATTTTTAACGAGGCATTGACATCATGTAGTAATGTCCAAGGGGGAGTGTTGTAAATATAAATAAAATAAATGTGGACATTACTAGAAGAAGTCTCTTCACCTACTTGCGACTTTTAGTATTCTCTTCCACATTTATATAATGTAAGCCATGAAAGATAAAATGAATGAGAAATGAAGATGAATAAAGTGAGATGATCATTTTCTCTCTATCTCTTCTCTTGTCTATTTACATTTACATTTCATATTTGATTCTTACTTTTGATATATATGATGTATGTAGATATAACAACAATATTACAACACACACAAGTTTAAAAATAATTGCAAAAGAAGAAAACAAATGAGGGAAGAATCTTGAATTGAGTAACTTATGCTTTGACTTTCATAATAAAAAACTTATGCATTAAAATTCCTATAAAAGATTTTATGCATTGAATTAATGCTAGTGGATGAGGGATAAGAGATCATTAATTAAGTGAATTGAGGAATTATCAAACATAGGAATTATAAATATTAAGAGGGGCAAAATATAAAGTCAAAAGTTTTAACACCCATATTCTCTTTTATAAGTAGTATAGATTAGCAACAGACGTTGAGCGAGAAAACCCTATTATAAGAAAGAAAAGTTTCCCTCTTCTCAAACTTTGCCCTCCAAAAATTTCCCTCTTATTAGTTGCTATAGATAGCTCTGTAGTTGCCCTAGAAAACTAGAAAATAGTTGCTAAAGTATCCTCCTCAAATCTCTTTGCAAGATTTTTTCCACCCTCTACCCTCGCGTGAGAAAGTAGAACAAGTCTTGTTCCGCCTTCTTATGCGTAATAGAAAACCCGTCATAATGACGAGTTTACTCTAATTAATTCTCTTGAAGGATTTGTTGACCCGTTGACTATTTAAACCCGTTTGGAAGGTTAAAGAAGGGTAAAATCCACTTAACCCCTCTCTTAACCCGTTACCAAACGGGGCAGAGGTCCTCGCTCCACTTCTAAGGAGTTACCAAAAAAAGAGAGTAGAAGTCTTTCCAAAGGTACAACTATTTGTGAAATCAATCTCTCTTATATGGGAAATTTGAATGATAAAAAGGGATTTTTCTTTTCCTTCAAAGAAAAGAAGAAATTTCATTAAACATGCTGGTAGCCTATCTACAGCTTAAAATATTTATAGACTTGTATTGCTTGCTATTGTATTCCATTGAAAATATTGCAACGTAAATATAATTATCTAAAGTTTCGTAAGAATCTCTCTTCACATGCTTAGTGACAATATAAAAAACTATAGTGAATTATATTTATATCTTCATCAAAATCTACATAAGATTTGTTCGCTTAAAAAAAATTCAATTGACTAAGTATTGATATAGTCAATATGGTTAACCCAAAATCAACTGTATTTTCCTCAATAAAGATTATGTCGTTATTCTTTCTCTTAACTAACTATTTAAAAATATTATATTAATTATTATTTGCTAGTTTTACAACTCAAACTCAGCAAATTATCTATAAATAGAGCACATGCACATCCAGACAAATATGTTTTCTTGTACGAATGTTTTACTCGAGCGTTGAGAATGTATGTCATGTGAGGGTCACAGTATGAATAGATATCATATTAGAGCCCAGTAATTTGCGGGGCAATAAAAATTGTTGAACATGCAATAAAATTGGCCCACCACCCACTTTTCTCCCACTCCTTAAATTAATTTTTTTAAGAACAAATTTTCAAAACAGTCTCAAACTATTTTTTATTTTTTAAAACCGACCCTTTTTTTTTATCAAAACGATCTACTTTTTACCACGTCAGCTTAATCCTATTCCTAAACAGTCGGGGTTGACAACCCCCGCTGTTTACGAGGTTGTTAAACCCCAATTAGAAGCCTTAAACCCGATTTTTTATGTCCTAAATAGTCAGGATTGGCAACCCCGACTAATTAGGAAATGAGATTAAGCTGACGTGGCAAAAAATGAGTCGATTTTGGTAAAAAAAAAAGTGAGTCGGTTTTGAAAATTAAAAACTGGTTTGAGGCTGTTTTGAAATTTTGTTCTTTTTTTAACTTTGGAGAACTTTAAAATAAAATTTTGAAAATGTTGAGGTAAAAATGAAAATAAATTTATTTCCATTATCTTTTCCAAAATTTACAATTTTCCCAGTACACTCCCCCTACCCCCAACTCTTTTTCTCTCTCCTCTCTCTACAAATACCCCCACTTCTCTCTCCATTCTCCCTCTAGAATCCCCTCGTGCGGGTCTCTCTCTCTCTCTCTCTCTCTCTCTCTCTCGCACTTGGTTTTCCTCCCTTCTCCTTTCCCCAAGCTTCTCTTTGGTCTCACTCTCTCTCTCTCTCTCTCGCTCTCGCTCTCAAGATTTCAACTTTCAAGAAGAGAGAAGCTGAGCTCAGAAGAGAGAGTTCAATGGGCAAGTACATTCAAAAGGGCAAGATCAAAGGAGAGCTTTCAGTCATGGAGGTCTCTCATCATAATCAGAGCCCCTCCTCTCTCGGGGTCCGAACCCGAGCCAAAACCAAAACCCTAGCTCTCCAGCGACTCCAGAACGCCGCACCCAAGCCCAAGTCCTCGCCTTGCTCCTCTGCTTCTTCTTCCTCCTCGTCAAAGTCTCCATCTTGTTACCTCCAATTGAGGAGCCGGAGGCTTGAGAAGTGCTTCGCTTCGAAGACCCAGAAGGGCTCTAACCCTAGAAATGCTAACCCTAGCCCTAGTAAGAGGAGCGAGGGTTCGAAGCGAGTGGAGGCGGAATTGGAGAAGGATTTGGGGAAAGAGGTCTCTTTTGGGGATAATGTTCTTGATGTTGAAGGCAATGGAAGCAGGTGATTTCAAATTTTCTTGTTTTATTGGGATTTGTTTAGGGTAATTGGCGTATGGTTGGTGTTTTGAGATGGGTAATTTTCAAAATTTGTTTTTTCTTCTGATTTGAGGTTTCCCCTCCTCAATCCTGGTTCTGTTGTTAGGGTTTAGTAGTCTGCAAAATTGAATTTTTGCGGTTTCAGAATTTTAGTTGTAGTTCTGGTAAAAATTTATGCTTTTGGGGTTTTTTGGACGTACACTATTTTGTTTAAGATTAATATCAAGCTCAGGTTTTAATTTCCTTTTTTAGTTCTGTGGTTGGTCAGTGTGATTTGGGTTGTTTCCTAAATAATATTTTGGGAGATTTTTGTGTTTTATATAATTATTTAATTCTTACCCATTTGCGACGGTGATTGATAGTATTTTCAGTAGAAAATGATGTGTGAAGTTTCCCTTTTGAAACTTTTATAATCCATTTCATTAAAAGTAAAATTTACTTTAGAAAATTTTCTTGTATCCTCTTTTTCCTTTGTGGTATTTTGATCCTGGAAGTAGTTGATATTTGTTACTTTGTTTGGACCAATTATGAATGACTCTGGAAAAGATTGAAGTTTATTTCTTATTTTCCCCCACTCTTCTCTTCTAGCTGGCTGTAAGTAATAGTTCCTTGCACATTGTGATTAAAACCTCATTTTTTTACCTTTTCTTTTTTCCTTCTGGTCCTTGTAATATAAGGCTTTTTCACTGTGGATTAAGTTGTTAACAGTAGTTTTATCAAATGATTATGAACACTTTCTCATTTTTTTAACTTTGCCATCGGCATTGGTTCTTTCTTGTTTCTAAAAAGTAAGCTTTTCCCTTGAATGTTATGTTTATTTCTGCCCCTGAAGCTCTTTACAATGTAAGAAAATGAACTCTTTATGGATTAGTACCCAAGCCCATCATACCGTTTCACTTCTTTAATTCTTGTTGCTTGCATCTGCACCACAAATTTTTCCATGTCTTTTCTTTTCAGAAACATAACCATCTTCAGTATGTATTTATGTGCACATATTTTCAAACCCCCCTGCAGATATATTTAAAACTTGGAGATTCTCTTCCATTTTGGTGATATTGAGTGCACATCTTTTCTTTATGTGTGAGAGTGAGTTTTCCACTTTCGGGAGTACCTGAATTTAATTCCCCTTTAATTTCCATCTCCATGCTTATCTATTAATGTCAGTTCTATTCTTTAGCTTATTTCTGAATTATATTCTCAATCACAAATAGCTTCATTGGTGATTTGTAAATTAAACTAGGCTTAGGAAAAGACAACCATACAGTTTTCATAGTCTTTGAATAATGAGAATGCTAGTCCAAACAGAAAAGGCTATACCGCTGTGCTGTGGCATCAAAATTATTGTGTATCCACCAGATCTATTTGCAAACTTTTTCAGACTTTCCCTTGTGACTTTTTGTTGTTTTTTGTAAAAATGAGTGATCCTGGAGCGTAAAGTCTGTTTTGGTTCATTGCAATACTAACTAGGACTTGTGATAAGTGACTCTAAAGAGCCAGAAATCACAAAGGACTCATGAATCTCCAATGGATTTGTTATCAGATGGTAGGGCCCTTCAAGTATATCTGGTAGTGATATCAATGATGTGTAGATCTTCAATGATATGTCTATGCTACATGAGGTATATTTTGATAGTGGAGTGTCATCATGCTGTCGATGAATGATAAGGTAGCAAAGGATGTGAAATTTTACTTGGAATTGGGCCTTGGATAATAATCAAGGCTGTGTTTCACCACAATTGTCCTACAATAGTTGTCAAGGACGCTAGTGAAAAAGAGTTTTTGAGCCTATACAGGATAGCAGTTGGTTTTTCAAAATGGGGATACGGGGTATGAGTTGCCACCTCATTTAGCAAAATGACCCACCAAAATAAGAGCGGCGGGCCCATCTAAATCTGATGTGACTAGTTGGTGGACCTCGCCACCAGTCCATCTCATGATGTCTAAAATGAGATACTAATCTCGTACCCGTATGTTTGCTTCAAATAATCATAATGGGGGAACCAAAGAAGATGATATGCACGTAGTTCTCTTGTTTCTTGGATTGTGATTCTATCAACTGTAGCAGTTTATTTCTGAAAGATTTTGTTTCATCTGTGGGCATAGTTATTATGAGTTTCTCTGCTAATTATTTTATTCTACTGGGTTTATATTTCGATAATGAACATTTTGATCTGCTTTAGATATTCTGCTCTCTTGCAGGTTACAAACTTCTTATAGCTTCCAAATGGATTTTACAACATCGTTTGTAATATTTATACTATTATTCAAAGTTGTGCTGCCAAACATACCTGTGTGTATTTGTTCTTTTTATGCAGGAATTCAAGAGAAACCACTCCGTGCAGTCCGATTCGGAGGGACTCTGAATCTCTCGGGACCCCTGGCTCTACGAACAGACCTACAACCAGTACAACTGTTGCTAACGCGGGGATTGAGAGTTCAACGCGAAGAAATATTCCAACCTCTCGTGAGATGGAAGAATTCTTTGCTGTACCGGAACAACGGCAGCAAAGAGCATTTGCAGAGAAGTACATTTTCCTTGATCATCCACCCCTTTCTGTAACTTTAGTGTAAAATTATCGGTTAATTGCGATCAGGGCCGGCCCCGAGCTTTGGGTTGCCCTAGCCCAATCCAATTTTGGTTGCTCCTTATATTAAAAATTTGGTACGAACAATAACGATAAAAACGAATACATATAATACTATTTAGCATTCTATATTAGGCTCAAACTGATAATATTCTCATGCAAAATCAATATTCATATAAGAAGAGATTACATTTCATCTTGACGTTGCTTGACTCTTCTATTATGAGCTCCAGAGTTTTGTTTTCTAATCCTTACTCAGTTTTTGTCATCTCCCGTCATAGTGTACTGTAGTATGTAAATATAATTATATAACACATGAAATCACAATCAACTAAACTTAGCAATATCAATGAAGGATAAATATAGCATTATTATAACCCCCTTCACTCATATGAAAACAGAATGAAAGACAAAAAGATGGGTTAATACTTGCGGACAGACCCCTTATCTTCAAGAAAAGCATCACCCATAAAATTGACAGATTTAAAATTGAAGCCTGAAGGACGGGTCGTCGGAGGCTCGCCGGCTCCGGCTCGGTAGGGAGGAGAGGAGCCACCGACGGCGGCTCGGGAAGGAGGACTGGAGGAGAGGAGGGTTTTTTATTTTTTTTCTTATTTTTTGTGAACGGGAGTTGCGGGACAGAGAGTCAGAGACGGGGAAAATTGGATTTGGGAATGGCTGACGGAAATAAAGGTGGGTCATTACTAGAGTTCTTTACAAATATAACCCTTAACATTTTTTTCATAAAGGTCCTTTTACAATGCCTACTTCAAAAATCAAAAAAAAATTACAGTTTGAGGGGTGTAGGAGCGCTCGGGATGGGTTGCCCCCCGGCCCTGGGTTGCCCCAGCCCCGGGGCTTGGTGGGCTTACCCCAGGGCCGGCCCTGATTGCGATAGACCCCCTGTAGTATCGCCAAATTTTGGATAGAGCCCATGCAGTTCTAGTGTTACGTAGACCCCTGAATGAAATCTTTTGACTCTTTTACTGTCAAAGAAAGAGAAAACTGAACTATTTTCTACAAATAGACCTCTTGAGGAAATAAGAGTAATAAAAAAATCACTTAGGGAGTCTACCTGCAATTGGTCGAGTACATGGGGTCTACCTGAAAGAATATAACTACAGGGGTGAGTGGTCTATCTGAAATTGAGCGATAATTAGATTGTCAATCCGCAATTAACCCTTAATTATCTACCAGTGTATGAGTGAGCTTCTTCTAGTGTCAAAACTAGAAGACCTTTGATTTTTTTTATATGCTGACTTTTTTTTTACTTGTTCGTTTTTTCTGCGTATTTCAGGTACAACTTTGATCCTGCCAAAGACTCTCCCCTCCCAGGACGCTATGAATGGGTCAAACTGCAAAACTAGAGGCAGCTCCAATTGCTGCATCTTTCGTTGTTCTTCTCTGCCTGTGTTTTCAACAAAGGGCGGAGCTCTGCGTGTGGTGGTGCTAATAGCCACCCCTTCTTTCTTTGTTGTAGTAAGGGGGGATAAAGAAAAACTTAGTGTTAGAACTAGTTCTTGGTCTATAATGATCTGTAACAAATAGAGCTGACCAAATTATACCTTGAAGAATCTTTAACAGATCAACTAGTAGCGTGGGCATCGCCCATAAAAAAAAAAAAAAAGGGTTATGTATGGGGGTTGTGATATTTGAACGCGGTGTTGTAACTTTCATGTTTGTATCTTTGTTCATATGGCTGCTGATGGAACTGAGAAGCTCTCTGTGGTAATAAATCATGGCCCTCCTTTCTCGTTGTCTTGCATCCTGCCTACATCTCTCCCATGTTTTTTCACTTTTACCAGTCTTTATTATCGTAAGAGTACTGATGGATTTTATGGTGGGAGTGCTGGCGCTGAAGATAATTTAGTCTCATCTCCGTCGCTTCTGTTCTACGTTGTCTTCTTGGATGAATTTCAGAAACCACCCCCCGGCTGGCACCATGGGGCTTCCTACAAAACCCCCGCAGACTTTATAAATTAGAGAAAACCACCCTGCAACTTGTCCCTCAATTGCCATGACTGACAGCATTTGACTTAAAAGTTCTCAATTACCTGGCATGTGACAACACGTGGGCAATCAACTTTACTTCTACCTAGCGTCTATATTATCTCTGTCGAAGTGAGCGTAGGTAAAAAGTTAAAAAGATGGTTTATACTTTATTAGCCCGCCTGTTAGATTCGTTTATGAGTTTTCAACACTCCACGGACGTCTATGAGAACTTTCTGGGTTCGGTATATAATTTTGAAAGTCCAAGGAACCGGGGGTAGGGGGCCTCTGTAAAATTTACCCACCCCTTTTCCCTTTCCAATTGACTGCTTGCGGTGTTTTCATACTTCCGTCCCGGTAACTCTTTGTTGGCTCCTTTCGAAGGGTTTGGAATTGGGAGGGGTCTATATTTGTGCTTGTGAGAATCAAATTTATGGCCATGGGTCAGCGAGAACTCCCAGTTCGGGAGCGAGAGCGGCTAATCTGGGGCCCTATGGGGCGGTACTTTCTGTTCGTAATCTTTAAAGCGCGGTGGCCACTTGTTTGCTTGCTTCTCCTTTATATTTATCCATGCCTGCTTCATGTCCTCTGGCTATTTTACATCAAGTGCAGTCCTTTTATGTTGCATGGCATCTGACAATGTGCAGTCCCTGGCAGGTGTTTTTTTGTTTCAGATAGCATACGGTTCCATGCCTCAGCTCGTGAACAAGGCACCACAAACAAAAAAAAAGTTGGGGATGGGGGTGGGGTGGGGGGTTAATTGCGGGTAGACCCCCGTAGTATTGTTGTTTTGCACTTCCCGCCCCTATAGTTCCATTGTTGCGGACAGACCACTTGGGTTAAAATTTTGACTCTTTTCACCCTTGGTGAAAAAATTTTGACCTATTGCCGCTGGGTGAAATTAGCGAGTCTATCTGATTACATCACTTGCAGTCCTTTTATGATACACATCACCTGACAAGGTGCAGCCCCTAGCAACTTTTTTTTTTCCAGATAACATACGGTGTCCATGCCTCTGTTTATGAACAGGGCGCACAGAATATGCTAGTAGAAGTAATCTGAAAAGTGGAAGTGTCGAAAATATTCCAGTAAGGAGGACTATATAACTATATGGGGTTTATCTGGAATTGGGCTATAGTACAGGGTGTCTGTCAACAATTAACCCTATAATAAAGCATGAAGATAATGAGATTCAAGTCGAGTTAGTTAAAAAAAGTACAGGAAATCACATTTTATAATAGTATAAATATGAAAGTTCCTGACATAAAATTTTCATGAACTTTGAAATATTCACCAAACATGTGGGGAAAGTAAAATTAGCAATAGCTATTAGCCTGCATCGAACAAGCACTATTAAGCGTTAATCAAGATTAACGAGGCTTAAAAAACCAAAAAAGAATAAAAAAGTGACCATGTAACTTTGATTTGATATTCCTTTATTACTACTAGATTTGCATTTAATCTGGTGCATGGACTTTTTATTTTTGGTTTTTCCCTTTCTTGAGAAGTTCCCTCATGACATAGAACAGACTCAATACCCAGAAAAGAGATCAATGTTAGTATCTGTTATTGCTGTGTTTTCGAGATCTCTAAAGTAAGTTGCAAGTTTTATAGCCTTCTTGTAAAACTTTAACCAGAGAAAAATAGTAATCAAACTCAAGAGCACAATGTCAGATACCTGAATCTTCTTCGTGGAAAAGGAAAGCAAATTCGAGTTACAGAAGTACCATGCACATAGTCAATTTTGGGTGACTAAAAAGGAAATTAACACAAAAAAGAAAAGTAAATAATGTAATATTTAATTTAAAGGGATAAAATGAGCAGGAATTAATTAATAGCCCCTATAATATACTCTACACTGCTGTTACCCTCTTATTATCACAGCCAACCAGTATCCAACCCATTCTGATATGTTTTCTCCAAGGACAATGTTTATTAACAAATAGCTGGAAAATTTTGCCAATGAGTAGACTTTTCACAAATTTGATGGACAAATAAGTCCATTCTTGACTTCAACATACTCCTAATATGGGACAAATTATTTTGATCAAACAACCTGAATAAAGTATAAAAGTGACCAAGAAAAAAATTAACTTGAATTAAAGCTAAGGTAATGAACAAATTTGTCAGGAGGGAAGTTAAGAAATGCTGGTTTTCTTGTGCTTGTGATAGAACAGGATTATGCATTGCTGTTTTAAACTGTGCAAGAAAAAGGCAGACTACAAACTTAAAACAAAGGACAAACTCACTCTGAAGGTTTGGAAGTCTGTATATACTCTCCACTGCATTCCATGTTAGTTCAACTAATCAAGGACAATAAGAAATTACGTGAATTTCCTACTCACACATAATCGTTATTTATGAATTATATGTTATAAAATTGCAGAAACTGAGGCAATCAGTAGTTAAAGGGGATAGGCCAAAGAAATCTAAACCATTTTTATTTACATGTAAGTGGAACCCCCAAATATACAATTCAGCAAATAAAGCTTATAAATAAAGATCGTGAAATTCATCTTACCATCAATATTTAACATATAAGAAAAGAATAGATAATAAAGGTGTTTAATGTACCATCTTATTGTATTTCATGTCCATCTACTCGAAAAATCCTATGGTTTCCACAACCATGCCGTCTGCCAAACTCCGCTATTATGGATAATTTCTCAAAAGATCCAACGAAATATTGGTATCACAATTTTCTAGTAAAGCAATAAAACAGCTGCAAAGAGAATAAAATCAAAGTTTCTTACAATAGCTAAATTCTACATACAATGAACTCTCGTCATTTCTCTTGCAAAATTTTGGGCATCACAGGTGCAAAACATGTGACGGGCAAATAATTACTTATACACAGACCCTTGTCTGTGCATGACTCACATGGAGTGTCCAGTGTCTAAATTAAATTCTGTAGGCAGAGAGGGGATGCACCAACTCTCTCTTATATATACTTTGGGAGTGAAAGACCTTTCTCTCTTTCGCTTAATAATTAGGTTGGACGCAGGCAATTCTGCTGCAATGGAAGGCAAAGATGAGAACTTTGAAGAGGAGAGGAGAGGAGAGGTCGAAGAGAAAGAAGTTATCCAAGATGATTGTGTTGATGATGGTTTTGAGGAAGAGGACAGTGATGAGGACTGTGGTTCTCATAGATTCATTCCTAGTCCTTTGGTCCCTCTCAGGGATCATCTCGTGAAAGACAAGGTTTACTTTCATTCTCTAGTTCCTTTTTCTGTTTTTATCTTTTTATGTGATCTGAGATGCCGGTATTGTGAAAGATATGAACTTTATTATCCGATTGATGTCGAGAGGTTCATTCCTCAAAATGGTGGTGGTACTTTTTTGGTTTTTTGGTTTTTCTTGCCTTTCTGGATGCTACGTCTTGTTGTTTGATTTGTTGGATTTTGATCTTGTAGATTTAAACGTCAATAAATGATTCTCCGTTTGTTTTTCTATTTCCTAACTGTTGTTATGTTTGGGCTCCAAAGAATGCTCTTTCATATGTGATTGATGCAAAAAAAATGTGTAAGTACCATTCCTTAAATGGATAATCTTGTTTGTTGGGGGCTTATTAGTCATTTGTTAGAATAAAGATGGTCAATGTATTATTGTACATTATAGTTATCCTTGCATTGCATGTTAATTGTGTTTTCTTTTCGAGATTCTTTAATGTAGTGTGTTTGCCAATTGATTACAGATGTGGTTACAGGAAACTTATGTGATTATGAATCTTTGAGGGTCTCCTGTCTGGTGGGTTTACTCAGTTAATTGCAATAAAGTTTTATTTTACATTAACCAATTGACGTGTTAGGAGGTGACTTAATATTAGGGATATGAGCATTCAAGCACTTATTAGACTTCTCTAGTATCTGATGATCGGAAACTTTACGTGATAAATGAGGTTTGTAAACATTGATATATAACTTTTAAATTAATAAATTTCACGATGATTTTCTAAGTGCTCTTCTATTTGGAGGTACTTCTGTCTTTTTTTTTCCTTTCTTCCTTTATATACAAAATCTTGTTAGACTCGGTTCTATACTTCGATCATTTAACTTTAGACTACTTCATATGAATACCTCCATATATATAGGCACCAGTCAACTCACTGAAGCATTTTCCGCAACATTGAAGAACAAGAGATTAAGGAAGACCATCCTCTATAAAGTATGTTATTTCCTGATATCACATGTCATTCCTAAAGAAATGAACTTGAGCTTCTCCTATACATAATATTATTTCCTGATAAGAAAGGTAAAAGCTAAACTTTTGAGAATATTTCAAAATAAGCTATCCGTTGCCACAAGCATTGTACAGTAACTGTTCTTTTTTGTTACTGGATTACTATCCCAAACCATTTCCAGATCTGTAACGACTTCTTTACTATTCCTCGTGCATTATGGCTCCTTCCATTGGGTACCATTGAGATAATACCATATTCTTCAGCTTCTTGGAAATACTAATTACATTCCATTATACTTCTCGTTCTCATGTATCCAGACTGTTGGTCTTAAAAAAAAAGTTAATAGCCTAAGGATAACTCCATTTCGGTTTTTTATGTTTTAGGAATCAGGCCAGTACCTTTCAACTGATCCTAAAAAACATCCTAAATGCTGTCAAGTGTGTTAGTTTCCTTACAAACATGAAACCTTCTGTAAACCTCATGTGAATAACCTATGTTTATAGATGTCAATACAAATATATTTTAACTGAACATGCATCAAAACAATCCAGCAACTAATTAGTCCATATTTCAACAGGGGAAAAAAGTAGGATTGAGATCTTGCGTTGAAAATCCCTAACAAATTGAACAGTCATCATACTAAGCAAATTCTAAAGAAGTACACACAAATCAGAAATTACACATGCAGGCAATGCCTTGGATGTGGTGTCACACGATATAGTTTCACAATTGAGGTGTCCGAGCTTGATACTTCATAAGATTATATTGCCATTCATCAGAACTTTTGGATTTGAAGTGTTATTAGATAAGGATCCTAATATGTTAGATTGTCGACATGCCAAAAGACTCGAAAAAGATGTCTATGGTTAATCTTGTTCTCGAAGACGGATTTATGTCCCTTCAAGTTCACTCACAAAGTGGTTTCTTTAATTGTCACGTATGTCAAAATCTGCTGTGATGTAGTTATTCATTCAGAAGATTGTGCACTAAAAGTCCTTATAGAGAAGGCAATCCTCGTCTTGTCCTCATTGAGCAAATTAAATTTGGTTAATTGATATATTCTAGTTTTCAAGTAAGGATTCAATCATCCATGACATTTCTTTCCATATTATTGTCAGTTTATAATATGTGTGTCCATATCCGTGTTTAGAAATTTCTACATGTTCCTCTGCCGATGTTCTTGTATGTGTGTCCATATCCGTGTTTTTAGGAAATTGCATGGAAACCATAAATAAGAAAGAACAAAATCATATTTTTACCACATTCAACCTCTTACTCAAGGATGAATAGAGCCCAAGGCCAAATAATATCTGAAGGGTGTTGCCAGAGGAACAAAGTGACATCCTACGGAAACGTGCATACGACAAAAAGCACCACATGAACACACATACATACGCTTGCATGCAAAATTGAATGCATATGGCACAAGCATGCACAAGATGCACAAAAATACACATGAAAAACATCCCTCGTTTGTTTTAGTCTGAGCACTAACAAATTACTGAAGTCGACGAATTGAATGTTCACTCAAATTCTGTATAGAGGCTTATGTACTGAAATATTCCAATATGAAATGCGTCAAGCTACCAGGAATGCTCTTATGGGACCAGTGGTTCAAGCGTCCATATGTCCACAAGCATCTGGCACCAGAACTCCGTTTTCATATGATATACACCGTGGTACCATAAATCCTCCTCACGGCAAACAGGTGCCAGATATCCATAAGTCCAGTGGTTTCGGAAACAGGAAAATTCCGGAGTTCAAAGCATGCCATACTATGTTTTCTTTGTACATACAACTTCTACATGTCCAAAATTGTAACCAATTAATTACAATACAAAATTGATTCAGTCCTCAACATTATTGTGTGTAATGAAGTCGAATGATACTATCTTTTTACTTGCTGAAGTAATAAGAGAGGAAACAGAACTAAATTTTGTTAGTCAAGGTTCAAACTTGTGAATCCTCCATACACCTCCAACCAAATCCCACCCACCCAAAAGAAAAGAAAACATCGCTAAAACGTGCAATGGCTAACTTTGCTTTTCTTGTCAAGGCAAAATATGGTATCCATGTATCATCTTTGTATGAGGCTAGGTTACTCGGACACGGCGTTTTGGGTGCCGTGTCCGTGTCCAGCACGTGCCAAACACGGATCTCCACGGACGCGTCATGGACACGTGTGTGGTTCAAAGCAAAATCCGATTTCCCCATTACTTATACCCTAAACTAGTTTTTTTGGTAATCGGATTCAAAATCAATCGGTTTTTTGAACCCGAAAACTGACACCCATTACTTAAATATTTTAAAAAATACCCATTTTATTATCCCGCGCAATCAAAACTAAACTTTTGTTGTTAAACATTATTATTAGTTTTATTTTAACTTGATTCTTAATTGTTATAAATAATAGAAAGAAACATACAAATGTTATAGAAAAAAACATACAAATGTTATATGTATTTTAATTCAATATTTGATCTAATGTAAATTTTACACGCAGACACACACGCACGCGCGCGTGCACACACATATAGCCATGTCCCCATATCTTAGATTTTACAAATTTGTCCCATGTCTGTACCCGTGGGTGTACACACTCATGTCCGTGCTACCTAGATATGAGGTATGGAATGTCATTCGATTGGTCTAAAGTGTCTAGGAGTTTAAATTGAAAATTTTCATAGGTCTGAAAGAAGATAGAAACATCAAGATCTCATCGGTGTCACATGCAACATTTATAGAAGGATATAACACGAATTTGTGTTTATGTATCTAACTACATAATGATGCTTCCTTTAATGCCAAAGCAATTGAAATTACAGAGTACTGTCTCATGCTTAGCCTCTTGTCGGGATGAATTGCAACTTCCATTGCCTCTTGAACTATTTTTGTCATCCCCCAACCTTGTGGGAAGGTAAAATTCGTAGTTTTTATACAACAATAACAACCACCACCTCCAAGCTTTTATCCCAAATGTTTGGGGTCAGCTACATAAATCCTATTTTTCCAATCCATTTTGTTATGGGTCATCTCATCCGTTAAGTTAGTCTTAATCATATCCTTCTTAATTACTTCTAACCTAGTCATTCTAGGTCTACCTCTAGATCTCCTAGCCCCATTAACTCTAATATTATCACTAAAATTCGTAGTTTTTATGCATCTTAAATATCACAAGGTTGAAGTTCTTAAGTTGTCATGATAATATGTATTAGTATACATGTGGCAATATTTCTTCTTTTGCTACATAATATTCAATCATCCATTCTAGACGAAAACTTTGCATTTTCTAGTTATCGCTTCCATAGCTGGCTTAATCTCAGAATTTATATATTTTACAGGAAGATGACAGTCTGAGGAGGTGGAAGGAAAAGCTACTTGGTGATGGTTATGAGGAAATGATGGGTGAGTTGTTCTTATGCATAAGTTGCCATAACTCGTAGTCGGAGTTTGGTTGTGAGCATAATTTGTGAGGTTAATATTACTTGCAGGTCAAACAGAACCCGAAGTTACATTTTATTCGATAGGAATTGTATCAAATGACTATGAAGAGACTGTTCTACCCTTACCAATAGAAAGCGAAAGCCCTCTTCTATTTACGCTTAATGAAGGAGCAAAGTATCGTCTCAAGCTGAAATTCAGAGTCCAACACAACATTGTCTCTGGTTTAACCTACATGAATACTGTATGGAAAGGCAGCCGTAAAAGTAAGTTATCTTTCAATTCTCCTTGAATTAGCAAACCCAAATTGAAAATTTAAGAAAGAAACATTATGTTATATGAAGAAAGAAACATTATGTTAAATGTAATCATCTTTGTTCTAGTAGTAGTACACAACTTTGCTTTGTACATGCATGCGTGCAAATACTTACAAACTTATCTTTCATCTGAAGTGCGTCAATTTAATATAGCGTAATTTTCACATATACCCCTTAAATTATGGGTATTTGCAAAAAATACCCCCCAAATCTTAGTATTTGCAAAACTACCCCTCAAATCATCAACTTTGTGAAAAAATACCCCTGAAATCAATAAATCACCATTTTGGTGCTAGAAATTTGACTGATAAATTTTGCATTGTGATTACCAATTAACTTACCAAAATTGATGATTAATTGCTTTGAGGGTAATTTTTTTCCAAAATTGATAATTTGAAGGGTAGCTTTGCAAATATTCAGAATTGGAGGGAACTTTTGCAAATACCCATGATTTAAGGGGTATATATGCAAATAACCTTTTAATATAATGGAAGCATATGTTTATTTGAAATATAATTGGAATAAAATAGTGAATAATGTTTCAACACATTTACATTTTCAGTCAAACGATAAACTGGACTAAATTCAGGTATGACTGTACCCTAATATGTACTTATTTTTCTATAACCACATACCAGGGAAAATTATTTAGTCGAATTTCTCTATGCATGTTACACAGCCGCTTATTATATATATATATATATATTATATATTATATTATATATATATTCCCGTGTATAATATACCATTTAGTTCTTAATGTCACTTTCTTCTTTTCTTATTTCCTTTTCTCTTTTACCTTTCGTCCCTGTGGTGAGACTGAAGATTTTGCCCATATCATCTTCTTTTTCCAGCCTGTTTTGGGCCAGAACCTGAGATTTGTATTATTAAAAAATGCTTAAGGCACACTGTTGATAGTATAAGAACTTGTTAAGAAAGTCTAAATATTAATAGGTGACATTTTCATGTGCCATGTAGGTATATTCATGGAAACCAATAAATGAGGAGACATAAATCACTGTAGAAATATTACTTAGCCGCATATAATTAGTGAATGGGTAGTACCAAATTGACCTACCAAGCTATTATAACTATTCCCCTACACTAGCTACCGACATCTATATTTTCTTCCAAATCAAAGAAATTGGCAAAGAAAAAGCAAAAATAGGTAGGTAATTCCTCTTTTCGAATATGCCAATGATATTCTCTGTTACAGTCTTGATCTATTAAAACTAAAATTATCTGATATTGTTACCGGCTGATGCCTTATGAAAAGGGTGGAAATGGTAGAACTCCCTATATTGCACAAGAGCCTCTATGCCGGTATTTAATGTATGTATATTTTGCCATCATGCTAGGCAGGAAGCACTGGTTGATGATTTACTTCATTTTGGACCCTACAAATATTTAGGAAATGCAAGAAAACATGACTAGTATCACTGTTTATATCTCACTATTTGGTAAATAAGTGAAAGGACACATGCCAGATCTGATCCATGTTGCTTCCATCCTTCTTCAGGGTTTAGACAACTCTAATTCTGCCATTTCATGCATGTTGCTTCAGCACTCATTTTTTTTAAAATGGTACTTTCTGTCCTTCGGATGCCTGTAGATTCTAGCAGTAGTGATGAAATTATAGATTCCCATAAGCTAGTTTTGAGTATCTTATAATGACTATAATTATCTTGCATGTCAGTAAATCAGGCTAAAGGAATGCTGGGTACTTTTGCTCCTAGCCGAAACCCCTACGAGGAGTTGCTGGAGGCAGAATCTACCCCATCAGGCCTATTTGCCCGTGGCATCTACTCTGCAAAACTTCAGGTCTAAAGAATTACTATCACAGCAGTCCTCATTCCTCCCTCACAAACTCTTAGCGATATCAGTTTTATTTATTATTATTATTATTATTATTATTATTATTATTATTATTATTATTATTTTATTTATTATTATTATTATTATTTTGCAGTTCAAAGATGATGACAATCACAGCTACCTGGATCTCAACTATTCATTTGAAATCAAGAAGCACTAAGCAAAAGAACCGTCATGACTTTGAGACAATATAATTTGATTTTAAAGCTATGAGCTTTGCATTGCTAAAATGCTAGTTTTACATTCAAAATGCAAACAGATACAAAATGTGCATTGAATTGAAAAGCTTAGAGAAACAATACAGTGATTTCATCATTTCTTGCGGAGATCGATACCAGCCTTCTTGGCTACGGCATCGAGCCCATTCTTCTCGATGGTCTTGAGGGCTTTCGTTGAGAGACGGAGCTTGAGGTACCGCTTGCCTGCCTCCCACCAAACCCTCTTGTACTGCAAGTTCACAAACTGGAGCTTCTTTGTCTTGTGGTTGGAGAATGAGACCTTGTTAGCCCTGTTAGCCTTCTTCCCCGTGAAGGGGCATATTCTACCTGCAAAATGAGGTTAAACATCTGACATTTTAGTAAAATTTTGAACTTTGAGGTGAAAGATTCAAAGGATAGATTCCTTAAATCTTTCACATTTCCAAATTAGCCCTCCAACTTGCGGAAATCATGATTTAGTCTCTCCATTCACATAATTTACTTCAAATTAGTGTCCATGGTATAGAACCGTGTAAATTAGGAGGTATATTTCATTAAACTTTAACTTTTTTTTACTATATCTCCACTCATAACACTTATCTCAAGTTCAATGCGAATAGGTTGCTTCAAATTAGTCCGTGTGGCAAAAACAATGTGTGAGTTGAGACAAATATGTAACTGAACTTTAACTTCTTTGAATTGATTTCCAGTCACAAACCCCATCCTTTACGTCTAATCACTAATCCAGCCAAGAGTTAATAAATTGAACCATAAATCAAAGGAGAAGATACCAGTTGCAGTGGATTCAGGGACTAATTTAGAAAGCATGAAAGATTCTAGAAACCAAAGTTTGGGACTTACGAGCAACAATGAGGGGGTTGGCAGTGGCGATTCTAGGGTTTGAGAGCTGGGTCGAGGGGGAGCTGCTGATCCTGAGGCCGGAGAGCTCTGAGGTGGCGAATCCGACGGCGGCGCCCGTGGAAAACCTCAAGGATTGGGGGGGAGGAGAAACCCTAACCCTAGGGGATTTGCTGAAGCTGAGGAGAGTCGATTGGCCTACTGAAGCCACCGCTGTCGCCATTGAGTTTCTTCTGTGTGCTTCGCTGGAAATGAAAGAGAGCCCCTGAAATGAACAGATAAGGAGACGGAAAAAAAAAAGATAAAGCAGAGTCTTATTGGGTCGGATCCAGATCCGACCCGAAAATCTAGACCAATAGACTTGAATGTTAAAAAAAAGGCTAAATAATAGTAGGGGTGGGCAAAAACCGGTTCAACCGAAAAAATCGCCCAAAAAAGCGGGTCGGTTAACCGAACCGGATTAAATGGATGAGAAGAAGACTCTAAACCGCCCGAACCGAATTAAACCGGTTTGGATCCGGTTTGAACCCCTGAACCGCCCGAAAAAAACCGAACCGAATTTTCTAATTCGTTCTTTGTCGGATATTCATATTGCTCAAAATGGGAAGGACTTTGTCGTTCAGAATTCGGTCAAAATGGAAAGGACTTTTGGTTCGGACGAAGTCGGATGGAATAACTTTCTTATTAGTGAGTCATCACTTGAACATTAAGCTATATAATTGCTCGGTAATTTGATTGTTATGTTTACATACATGTTTATATTGTATAATTCTTTTTTCATTGGGCCTGCTAGCGTATATGCCCGCATTAAAATCGGTGAAACCTCATATAAGTTTTCAAATTCTACTAGAGGCATGTTAAGTTGTTTTCCAAGAAATGAAATATAACCTTTTGATTATAGTTAATTAATATTTGAATGTTATGTAACCATATGTACTTGTTGATATGGTTTGCGCTCATTTCACTGATTTCGGTTTTTTGTTAGCTGTGACAATGGTGTTACTTCAAACAAGCTCCACATTTCATTGTTTGGGGGGAAAAGTTAAGTAGACAAAATGGACAAATAATGATTCTTCATCATAAATTAATAGGCAATGATCTCAGGTGTGGGCAGATTTTTATGAAATAGTATTAATTCGGTCCAAAACCGAAACCGATCCGAACCGATCCGAATTTCGGTTAGGCCGAATATTCGGATGAAGGAAAAAAAATCTGGATCTGGATGAGAGTTTTGAGAATTCGAAAAATTCGGATTGGATACGGATTGAGCTTAAAACCGATCCGAACCGAATATGCCTAGCCCTAAATAATAGTATGGAAAGAGGAAGGGCAAAAAAAACACATTAACTTTGGACAATTATCAGATAACCCCCCAATAATTTTAAAAATATCAGAAAATCTCCCTTTAATTTTGTTGGGAAACTACTTTTTAAACTTTAAGATTTCGTTCAAAAACATGGGACATGTGAGGTATCGGTTCCATGTCCCATGATGCACTATTCATGAACAGTATATCATGAACAGTGCATCATGGGACAGAGAGCCGACACCTCACTTATCCCATGTAGAGTCCATGTTTTTGGGTCTCTACGGCATTTTTCTTAGAAAATATCCCTCAACACCATTAACCGCAACTTTTCCATAGATGGATGTGAGGGAATATTTTCCTTCGAAAATTGCTGTTAGGGAAAGGGCCCTGAAACAATGAGCAACAAGGAGATTGAAAAAAGCAATGCGTTGGTCCTTATTGGGCCGACTGAGATCTGATCCCCAAAAAATCGTGGTGAGATCTGATTCGGAAAAGGTCAAAAATGTAAAATGCAACCGAAGTAAATAAAAAGTTGGAAATGTTTGCACAAACTATGCAGATAGTTCAACTTCTCGTGTCACAGCCTTGGCCAACGAGCTCGTCGCGATGTAAGCGGTAGGAGCCGTTAAGTGTAGGGCGATGTTTAGCCCAAACCACTATCAGACTTGACTAGTTCATGTTACACTTAAGTTTTTAGGCTTATCTATTTAAGCCATTCAAACTTCTAATACTTTCCTTATGTGTGATTAATGTTGGAGACACTACAATCACCCCACCTTAGACACACGATGTGCTCGTCGCGACATGACAATTGGTTCGGCCCAATATCACCATTAGACGGTGTGGACTATAGCGGTGCCTCCTACAAGCTCTAGAGGTGGCCCCCGCTGTACTTACGCAATGAAGAACTTAGCCACACGTCACTTAACCCCACATTTCCGATTGGTTAACTGCCCTAATACCATTTATCCTCACTCAGTAGGTCCCACAGCGTACATCATGCCAAACAGGCTAGCGAGCCCGAGGCATGGCATATCATCTCGGTGTATTCAATCACATCGTACTCTACTTGATGAACAAGCCCTCTTTTCCACTTTCTTAATAGTAGCTTAAGAAGGCTAATTCCATCCTTCGACCCCGCCCCCCCCCTCAGGTAAGAGAATATACTTATTTTACATACAAAACCTTCCATTACAGTATTTATATGTTCATAAATCACTAGTTGAGCTTTAGAGGGGCTTCAGTCGAAACCCTAGCAAGGGTCTCGACGTGTTTGCTTGATACCACAGGCCACCAGACCATTGGAGGCCTGGAAATCCACAACAGTTTGATAGACTGGCTCCTACTTGAGAAGCTCTCATTCGGCCCTACACATAACATACATCTACCATCATCATCCATATCAATCCATCCGAGATCATCCATATCAATCCGTCCGAGTTCTATTGTCTGAATGTTGCCACGTCAAATGACAAAGATACATGGTTCACATTGAATTTCTCGTATATTGTCAACGATAAGAAATTTCATTATGACGTGGGTACAAGATGTTGATCTAAGATCCTCCAACACACTAGCTAGCTTCTAAGAGAAAGATAAAACAGATTGAGTACAAGCGTGTTCGTGTAATAGATTCAATACTAAGAGATATAAGGGGAAAATATTTGTTAATCTTCATGGACTTCTACATAGCACTAAACAGAAAGATGTCAGTCCTATAAAATTGGATCGTCATTGAAATCCAATAATACACATTCTGATAACACTTGAACCCAACAGCAATTGAACAAATAAGTGAGGGTTGAACCGGTCCACTAGTAAAAATCATACGGCTGCGTGATTCAAGACTCAATTTCGAAGGCTATCGCCTGAGCAGCAAAGAATGACCATTTCTGATTAAAAAAATATTACAATAGAGCACACTGTTCCATAAGGCCCCGTTTGGCAAAGGGTTAATGAAGAGGGGTTAAAGAGAATGATTAATGTACTTAGCCCATTTGATAATCCGAAGGATTAAATTATTAACCCGTTAAATAAGTTTTATTTTAGCCCTTATGATCAGTTTTAGTGTTTGGGAATAACAATGATTTTGACTATTTTCTTTATAATTAGAAGGGTTAACTCTTATTCCATCTAAATAGGAGTATTAGTAAACCCCTCATTTTGAGGGGTTAACTCATTTTAACCCCTCTAGAGGGGTTAACTTAACCCTTCTATATTTTTTATGTTTGGCAAATTATGGAGGGTTAACTCACTTTAACCCTTATATAGATTTGTTGTGTTTGACAGGTTAAGAAGGGGTTAAGTCTCCTTAACCCCTCTCTTAACCCTTTGCCAAACGGAGGGAACTTCTTTACGCTGCAGGGTTGTTTTGTTCAATTTCTATAAAAAAAAAAGGTAAAAGGCAAGTGCTTAAAATTTAGTTTTCTTGTATTTTTATAAATTTTGTAGGAAAAATAAATAGAACTTAAAGAATACCATATTTCTTATTTTTTACTATTTCTTTGTTTGGTTCAAAATATAAAATAATTCTTAACTTTATAGAAACTATATTGTTTTCTTTTTCTTTTATTTAGTTGGATATCACTTTATAGAAAATAGATTAGTAACAATACCCATGAAAAATCACATGGGGAATGGTACTGATGTACTTAATTATTTTTTTAATATAGTGTCAAATTTCTATGCAATTTCCTCTCACTTAGAGAGAAAGTTTGATTTCCATAAAATACCTCACTTTTCCTTACTTTATAGAAAACATTTCTATAATTGTTTTTTAAACCAAACTTAGTTTACGAAAATCTACAGAAATCTATTATTTACAAAAATGCTATTGTCGGGTGTTTTGTCAAAACTTTTCTATAAAATGGGTGAACCTAACACCCCCTACAAGTACATATTATACATGCATAAGTTTCTACTTCACACATACTCAGTTTGAGTGATACATGTACAACAAAATGATTTTAGCTCTTTGAGTGAGGAACCAGCAAGTCATAACAAACCGATGGACAATGGACTCGAACAGCACTGTAGCAGTTAGTGAATGTGGCTCTTTTCTGCATGAAACTGATAGATCAGTTCACCAACTTCTTGATTCCTCCAGAAAAATTTCACGCCAAGAACAATAATAGTCTACGAATAGCAATAAATGGCTCTCCCAGTTTGCTGAAAGTTTATCAAGTTGGCAGATGACAAGTTGAAAATTTTCCCAATGTATCAATCAATAGCAGTACAATCAATTTGTTGGCTCCAATTTCCAATAACCTACGGCAAGCGAAGGACATAATAACAGTACAGGCAACGGAGGGCATAACATACTTTACACGAAAATGAAGAAGCAAATAAGAAGCTAACTCACACTAAAGATAGTGTAGGAGGAGGTCAGCAGAAGAACCTTTCAATCTGCAGCTCTGACCCAGATGAACATCCCCAAAATTGTACCTAAATAGCGGTGCACAACATGAATCATCTTTTTTTCCCCTTCTTATTATTCTCATAAAACTGGAACTTTAAAAGACAATAGAAGAAAACCTGTATTCACAATACTCAGGCCAGGCACACCGAGCCTTCCCATAATCCCAGTAACAGTCTTCATCCCTCAAAGGACCCCGTTTGGCTGTTAATACACATTTGTAACAGTGTTAAACTACATAAACAAAAGGTATCACGAATAGAAATTCTAAGAGTTGCAATGTAAATTTACTTTCCTTTAGTTACAAATTTTGAACTTGCATCAGGATGGATGTCATGCCACATTTGAAGCCACAATTCCCGCATTAATACTGGAGATCTAACAATGTTCCTGTGGTTTGCTGTAGGACAGGAAAGAAATACCAGATGTATATATTGTTATCAGAATTTAGAAATAGATAAACAAACTTCAGAAAGTTAAATACGAAGAAAAACAGTTAATACTTGTAACTGTTAAATCGCTACCGAATGGCCAAATTTTAGTAAAGATAGAGCATGTTAATGAAAGTTCATCCCTATACTGTCCTTCACATTTAAGCTGAAAATTACGAAGTTATGACTGAAATGGTTTTTTTTCCCTAGAACCACCTTTAAAATATGGTCATTCTATAGAAACCACCATTGATTGTCAATTTATATGTGAATCACTTTCAAATGGCTTTTTTTGCTGCAATCAACCAAATGGACTCACATTCAAGTTCAGTTTTGCTGTAATAATTAGTTACTAATCAGCAGTATATTAGAGAAATGATCCTTAATTGAGATTTGGTGAGGTTTATTATCAAAAAAACTTAACTAAAAAGTGGGGCCAGGTGTCGATTGCAACAACAACAACCACCACCACCACCACCTTTAAAGCTGGTTTATGTATAAATTAGTAATAAAAGGTGGTTTCTATTGATGACCTTATTTTAGAGGTGGGCAGAAAATAAAGTGAGATGTTGTGAGTTGTAACACTAAAGGAAATAGCCCTCACCAACCTTAATATAGACAAAGAAAAGGAGTATCTAACATTAGGTTCATGGATGTATCTGATGCAGTTGTTGTTCCATTCAATAATCATTTTGCTTGTGTTTCAGAGATCTGATAGCTTATGTCATCTTTTAAACCAGACATTCCAGGTACTATGTTTTACCATATACCACCATGCTCGTAAGCTTACATTCCTTACTAAAAAAAATCCCACTCTTATCTCCATATGAAATAGATAAACACGGTCCAAAGGATCGTGGGGAAGCTCCCTCATCAAAAAAAGGAAAGGAAATAGATTAGCATAAAACCAGCAAAACCAACTGACGTGCAATAATTCGCTAACTAACAATTCTTTCCTGCAACTTTTAAAGGAAGCAGTACATAGTAATGGAAGCATCATATCATGAAGACTTGTGTTCCAAAGACATGAGAACTTGTGGACAGGAGTAACCAACAAGCTGCTAAAAATATCTCTGATTTGCAAGAAGTCGTACAGAGTATGTTCAAAGTTCAAATTTAGAATCGAAAAATTTATTCATGAGTTCAAAAAATCGATGTAGGCTAGCCCATATACCTTTATCTAGTTCCCATACTGCTGTCCTCCTTCCTGGTATACTTTCAGAATCTTCATAGTAAGTCATGTACTTAACCCGGGGAGCTCTTGTCATGTTTGGAACTATATCTTCTCCTTGAATGTGCTCCACGTCTAGGTGTACTTGTACATCAGATCCATCATGCTCTGCCTGCATTATCATAACAAAAATACCACAATAATCTTCATGATAACATAGCATTGGAAATCACATAAGAATATTTTTATAGAAACTAATAGGTTGCATCACTTGAGGCATTCTTCTGATATTAAAACTTCACTTACAGTAGAAATAGCATGCCCCAGTAAGCAATAAAACAAAGGGCAGTAATTGTTGAAATATTAATAGGTTTAGGGGCTTATGTGTAAGTAGTAGGGGCCTATATAAGCCCATGTTATCTCATGAATAAATTAGGGTTTCTATTATCTTCATGGTATCAGAGCTCCTACTACTTAGGGGCCTATATAAGCCCATGTTATCTCATGAATAAATTAGGGTTTCTATTATCTTCATGGTATCAGAGCTCCTACTACTT